CGTGAATCGGTAAAATACATCTGAATGATGCGGGAGGGAGGGAGGGAGGGTCAGTCGCTCACAGCAACTTTCTTCCCATACTACCCCATAGTTCCACACCCAATTTTACAAGGAGTAAAGATGAACTCTGGAAAGAAAGCCGTTTGACAAGTTGATTCATGACAGTCAGAGCGGAAATGGTGAACACTTAGTATCCTGTATCGACCTGAATCGGTCGGCAGGCAAACACGCTTTTTGTAAGCTAGAAAAGATCCGCTGATTTCGAACTCAAATGACGGTAGGACAGAACACTAGGTCGATCATATCTTGGTACGGTCCCGTTGCTTCTCGTCAATTTAGAATTATCGATCCTGGAAAAGAAATGAGAGCGGTACTGACCTCACCATTGCACTTGTCCGGTTCAGGATCCACCCGACAAGCCGTGGAAGGAATCGTCCAACAACCAGGATCAACGTGACACTTTTGGATCCAGTAGGAATAGCTACCAGTCGGTCAAACCCAATCATCTCGGAATTGACTAACCCGGTCCCCAACAGCCGATTGGGCAGCGTAGGAAATACGACTGCAGAAACTGTGCCAGGATTGTATTCTTACAGCCTTAAAAGATATTTTGGACATGCAATGAATCATAATCTCTTGCATAAACTTGTGTGTATAGCAACACGCCATGCGATTCGGGATCACTTATGATTGTGAAGCACGACCGACGTGAGCCGAGGATATTCAAAAGTTGGATATTTTACAACTGACTCCTAGTTATTTCACTATTAGTGAAAGCCACCGTGTTATCGGAGTGAATGTTTCGGGTTGTGACTAGTCGCCCACAGCTTCCTGGTTCTTGCTGTAGTCATCGGCTGGATTGGGCATCAAGATGCAAGTGGGTATTTCGGACATTTTAGCCCCTCCAAATGGCGTAAGTTCTGATAGAAAGGGCACCGGTCTGCCATGGATGGCGGTTTCCATATCTCAATCCAGTGCCTTGGAGACCAGGTTTTGGTTAAACGAATGCTATCCTGGAGAAATCTGACAATAATCTGCTTAAGTGCATGGAGCGATGTGATGTTATTACGATCAGTGTATCGGGACTGTCTGGTACACAATTTGCACTTGAACGTGTGGGGAACTTTATATATACAGTACTGGTCGATTGTGATGCACTAAAATATTTTTTTTCTGATTAAATTAAGTTTAATTATATTTATCATGTAGTGCTTTAGGTATGGGCAATAAGTTACCGCTTGTTTACTTCGAGCTACGTAGTTTCTAGGCTGTATGACCGTCAATTGAACGTGCCTGACCTTGGTTGCCAAGGTTAGTTAGCTCTTAACTAATCATGGTCTGGGTGAACCACTACTGACGAAATGGAAGTATCCAATACATTCTGAACCATTCCATTTGCTAAGCACAAACGAGTCAGGAAAATTACTGCTATAATCATCAAAACTTGATCATTACTATTTGGAAAAAAATTACTTTACTATAAAAGATGTTGCCTATAAAAATCCTCAAGCGTTTCACAGGGACGCGTTGCTTCAGTTTCGACTATATATATCTATTGGTCTGAAGGTTCACCATCACAAACTCGTCAGAAAGACCGTATCTCCAAATACATGATCAAACAACGCTTTAAAGCCGCCGCCTACAGCGGTTCGACTTAGTTCTCAGGTGACTAGAAAGTGGACAATCAAGATGCAGTATTTGATCCACTCTGTTTGGCGATTGGTGTTGACGAATGGACAGTCTGACAAAAACGTGGATCAGCCACATGAGGCAGATAGTAGATAGATAAAAAGCATCGAAAGTAAACGAGCCCTTTTACATGTATCAAGAAAATGCCTGGGATTCATTCGTCGTAACAGGTGTGACCGATTCAGGCGCTGACACAGGCGTGCTTCGGACCCAAAGGTTCGAGTTTCGAACTCTGCCAAGTGTCAACCGACTTTTATGGTCAGTAGAATCATTGTCGTGTGGTTCAATGTCATACCTATCTTGTTATTATTATCATCATCACTCATTTCACCAATCCCATGATCTCGGGTGGTGATCATCATGAATTAACATTGAGTTTTTCTGCCTTTGGGTTTTTACCCGTAAGCTGCTTATGTGTAGCGTGTAGTGAAAATCTGCCAGCGGAGTAAAACAGCACACCCTAATACCTCCCCCCCCCCCCCCCCACACACACATACACAGACATGCAGAATGAGACTGAAATTCAGATCCGGTTAATCCTCGAACTGCGGTGACACTCTGAAGGTGTTAAGTACATAGCAAACCTTGCAATAATACTACTTTCAGTGTTGAGAAAAAATACACTTGATTTAATATTTACTCAGCACTGCCACCTATGAGCAGATTTATGTATCTGACCTCTCGTCGACGAATGGAACCGTCTCTATAAGTTAATTTTTTTATTACACACCCCTGTGCGATGAACAGCAGTCGAAGCGGACCCCATAGTCACGAAGACCTGCTGTTCAGTGCTGCAAGCAATCACGATGAACACGAGTTTGTAAGTCAAATTCAGGCGAACAATTGCCATTAGAATTGACACGATCAAACCAGGCGACAGTAGCGTGAATCGAACAATCCTCTAAGACAACAGACCAGAAATGAGTCTATGACGACTGGAAATACCCGAGGTTGAATCAGAGACCCATTATAAAATTATATGGTTTACAGTCGTGTGAAAAATGAGGATGACGGTCTGGAATTGGTACCGCTGTACTGGGAGGATAACAATCCACATTGTCAGGATTGCAAACTGAAACGCAGCACAATCGTGTCTACCATTCTCACCCACTCTCCAGACTCAAAATGAATGCATTACAATCACACCTCGGGAAGCATTGTGCAACTGAAATGGAGACCAGGTGCTCGATTGGATGTATGCCAGTGGACATGAACACAACAAACTGCGATAAAGCATCTCGACAAAGAGGGTAAAAGCGTGCGTCCGGCAGCACAGACCAATGCAGAAGGATGTGTTACCATAAAAAGCCAGCCGGTTATAGGGATTTAAATGAGTCGTGAAGGGTAAAAATTAAACAGAAAAAATAATCTAACTCATTACCGAGGAGGAGATCTGTTCAGCGCTAAATTAATGCAGATCATATCACTGCACAGCGATCTGATTATGTGATCAAAGCCCGATAAAAAGCTAGTCAAATGTTTCAGTTTCAGTTTGTACAACCGTTACCCTCCCATATTCGTGCGCCAGTTTTGGTTGCTATCTTCTGGCTGCTCAATTGGATGAAGAATAGGAGAAGAAAGGAAAGTTGAGAGTGGAGTCCAGAAAAACAGAAAATAGAGAAGTTCAGTGATCTAAAGTTGCAAAGAAATTGAGAAGATGCAAGAACGACACTGTTGACGAAACCCA